AAACCCACACTGACTGTTAACTGCTCTTACCCAAGGTTTATTTGCTTTTTGTTGCTTCATATCCAGTGAAGCATCGTGTACGAGTCACAGTGTAGCAGAGGGAAATCCCTGAGGAGAGCTGCATGAGCCAGCCACAGTGTGAATCACTGTGATATGAAGGATGAGATACATTTGCAGGTTCTGGCACACCTCCTCTTAGGAACACTTGTTTGAATCTTTGTAATGTTTTTAAGTTGTGTGGCAGGAAGCAAGTTGAATGCAAAAACAACTTTGGGCAGAATATAAGTGTGTTTGCATCTATGCCGTTACTTACAATATTGTTTAATTTTAATTATGAGGAGGACATTCTCTGAATGTTTGTGTCACGTGTAAGTGGATTTACCAGGTCTTGAGTACTGGACTATGGAATCACAAGTGTTCTGGTTGTCCTTTGTAGTCTGAGCAGGGTCATCCACTAGCATTTCAGCAGCTGTTTGCTGTATTCAGGATAACTGGGCATGTGGAGAGAACAAATGGTGTACAGCCAATGGCCAGAATGTAACCCTGAACCCCACTGGAAATCATCTAGCAACATTTAAAACTTTGTCTCAACACCAACTCCATTATGCATCTCAAGTTGATAGTCAAAATACGACAGACTGAAATACATTTCAGCTAGAATTCTTACAGCTAGGCATTGTCAGACGGCAGTGACCAGATCTCAAACTAGTTGAATATCTAATTGACAATCTGGATATACATGTTGGATGACACTCTTCCCTGCCATTTTCATTATGAGAACTGGAACAACATATTATGAGCATACATGATCTATAATATGACAACAGGCTGGGGTCAAATTCTCTCTAGGTTCCAACTTTCCATACAAACAGCTGTATTTTTATTAGTCCCTACTGCCTTAAATGTGTGGGGCTCAGTTAGATATTGCAAGGTGCTGACCCAGGCAGCAGAAGTAAAGCATCTCTTTGTTATTATACTGGCATGCTGTGGTTTTAAAGAGCAGCTTTACAGGTGTGCCTGGATTAAACCACCATGCTTAATAGGGAGACCTCATGCTTAGAGGGTATGTTAACTGATGTAAGATTTGCAAATCATAGTAATTATTTAAACAGCATTTTGTGTAATAGGATTGCCCTTAGCTCAGCTTGTCTTGTATATGACTCTTAGTTTTTTGATACTATGAGGAACGTGTCTAGTGTTCAGTCCCTAGAGAAGAATAGAAGTCAAGTCCTGATGAGTAATTATGAGAAGAACCACTATCTCATTCAAAACTATTCACCGTATGAAACTCAGCTGACTGTGAGTGCTAGATTCTGACTGATCCTGTCAACATGTCTTGATATTTAAATGTTTAAGGAAGTTACAGTGTAGTGTGTCATGCATAAATGTTCACTGCAGTTCTCTTTATGGGGAGATGCTCTCATTGATCCCGATGCAGAGAGATCACTGCAGGTGTCGTAAAACTCAAAAATACTGCAGCCCACCTGCTATGGATCACTTTGGGGGTTATGTTATGTAATCATGAGTCTTAGTAGGCCAGCTATCATACCTCGCTAACTTTTAACTGGATGTCAAATAAAAGTTAAAGGTTATTTCTGCCTGCTCTTTAATAGTTCTTTTGTATAATATATATCACATTGCTCTTCCTTGTATTTGCTATAAAATATTTGAAAGAAAACTGGAGAAGCACAACACTGAAAGCAGGTTAACTGTACATGTTTGTATTTGTGCACCTATGTAAGGCGAGATTTATTGGTCTGAAGGTTTAAATGACACCTGTGGTCTATTTTCTGTTGTCAGTAACAACAGTTGTTTTAACTGAGTCATAAACTGTGCTTTAAAAACTTTTCTGGTAACAGTTAATATGAGCACATCTCTTTTAGTGGATCATGAGCACATATATTAAGCCTGATAAATACACCTATGTTGCTATTACAGCAATTGTGACATGTGATTATAAGCAAAAAGCACAATGCCTTATAAGGCATGGCATATTATACGTAAAACGTTATGCAGAAGAAAAAAAGCTTTACAACTCTCATTACCCAGTTATAAAGATTTATGACAAACTCATGGTTACACTTTATTTGAGGCCTATCCTAACAGGGTCAGGTATTATAATGTATTATAACTGTTAACAACTCACTGACAATACCCACATAGATAACGCAATGCAACTGTTGTTAAAAGTTAAACACTTTTAAACACATTATAATACTTGACCTTGTAAGTCATGATAAAATGCTTTATAATGTGTTATGATTATTGCTATAAAGCATTATGATAATTTATGAGTGTTTATCATTGTAGTTATACAGTGCTATAACCTGATCATAATGCATGATACTTATATTTATAATGTGTTATAGAGATATGCGTCAAGTAAAGTGTTACCAAACTCATTCTATATATCAATAAAAAAAGTTATGATTTCTATGACTCTCAATATGGAAATGTCTTATCAATACTCACAACATGACTCTGGGTGCTTTTAGTAAAGTGACAGCACTGCAACACTAGAACTTATAAACTGTACTTGTGGCTGTATAAGTAGCTACAGTGTTAGACAAAAATATGTCATGCTCATGCTCGAGAAATGCTTTTAACTTATACTCACTGCTAATAACACTTAAAAAATATTGCAATAAGCTGTTCTGATGGTTATTGTCACTCATGTGGGTTATTGTTAAGCTTTATAAATATGCTTATCTGATATAAAACGGCCTTTTGTGTCTGTGCAGCTTAAACATAAAAATGGAACAAATAGAAAACAGTTGATCCCAATAAATTTATTTAAAAAAAAAAAGAAAAAGAAAACAAAATAAGCTAAATACTTGGAATGGAATCATATTTAATAAATAAATTGGATCGATTTTAATTTTGACTCTCACGCATACGCATCGTCAGTGCGTCTGTCGTTGCCATCGATACGGAACCGGGGTTATTTAAACTCACATCAATGTTCCAGATTCCCCTTTTGCTTCTGACCTTGACAAGAGTAGCTGCAAACTTTGGCTGTGGGAAGCTAACCTTTGGAAAGCTCGAGAAAGCGACAGAAAACCAACTGTTTTTTTAAAACAAACCCCTTTGGAGAGATCGCCGACCGCGGACACCCAGGAAGACCGAAGATGGCCTCCAGGAGACCGGACCAGGACCACCTGCTGATCGGGGACGAACGGATGAACGACCACCGTGCTGGCAAGATAACTTTGAGCCTCATTTGATATTGATATTGATATAACATGTGTGGAAACAAGATTAAAACCTAAATGCTTCGTGGTTACAGTAATGAATTGCTCTAATTTAAGATATAATTTACACTGAGTAATCTGGGTGTTTGAAAAGAACGTTTAAAATCAGATAAACTGGACGTTTACATGATGATTTTTCATAGCAAAAATGATTTTTATGATGGCAGTTAAATCTCAAATATCCCGGGACAAGGTGGGAATGTGTTAACAGTCAGTGTAGCGATTTGAAGACTGAATTTTCACCGAAATGTCGATGTATTCAAATGTTTCTAAAATGTTAAGGTTCTTTTTTTGTTGACCTGCTGATTTAAAACCTTACAATTCTGAAATGACATCATCACGACATCAGGACTCACGTGTGTAAAGTCCAGCAGTGTGCACGTGACTGTAGTTTGACTCTCTGTTAAAGCTTCATTATGGATCCGGAGTTGATACCGAAATATCGAGTCCTTTTAGTGTTTATTGTATGACTTTGAATGAACTTATTTTCTGATATTCCTGAAAATAAACATAAAGAGTCCTGATGTTGGTTTAGGACTGGATTGGAAAATGTCTGACCGGTTTTAAACTCTAACCGAACTGTTGCGTTTAATCCTCATATGTTATTAACATGTCAATTATTTCACTGTTTGCATTTGGCATGATTTAGTACATGAATTTAAAATCCAGGATGCAACCCTCTCCAACACCTGCCACGATGCATAGACGGTAAACTAAGAACCACAGTGGGTTAAAAGTATTTGATGTAAACAGAGGTACCTGTGGTTATCCTGGAGAGTCCATGAGATTGTCTAAACTGGGTTTAAATGAGTACTGTTGTACTAAATATCTCTAAGTAAGGCTGTGCTTATTATGGTGCATATAGAGCAGTATATTAAATGAATTACAAAGCTGATTGTAAACTAAAATGGGTTTATCTAACATAAAAACTAAAGTTCTTGAAATAGTTTGATGGAAAATATATTTATTTACATTTGTGTGTGGTTGATTTCTTTATTAAAGCGTTTTGCTCTAATTCTGAGCATCAATTATTTTTGTATATATATATTTATTCATATATGATTCACTGATATTTGTTTTTTCTGAGAATATTTCAGGTCAGTGAACAGTAAAAATAGATAAAGTTACTTCAGCTTTCTTTTCACTCATTCTCTCGGTGAATCGATTTTGTTTTGTCCTTAAACGTTTTGTTTCCACCATTTGATCATAGTTTTGATAAAGTTAAGCTTTTAATTTGTAGCTCAGACTCTTCAGCTTCATTTGTTAATCCATCTAAAATTCATAAATCAAAGTTTTGAACATTGTGAAAATATAACATTGACACATTACATCAGAGCTAATTAACACAGGAGGGTTCATATTTCTTTAATAATACAGCGACTCCATGATGTTTGATATAAGAGTTAAAAGTCGTTTCCTGTGTTCATGAATCAGTTGATGTAGAACAGTTGTGAGAAATTTAAGTGAATTTAGGATTACAAGATTTAATTGAGTTGTTGAATTGTTTTTACTTCTGTAAGACAAATATTGTAAGTTACTGGAGAAGACACACCTTAAAATCTTATTCTTAAACGCTCTGACTCTTCCTCATCAGATGGCGTGGAGTGGCCAGTGGAGGACATCCTCCCTGATGTCATCATCGTTGTGGACGACATCCCAGGTGACGTTGTTCCAATCTACATCTCTTCCTCTGAAGATGATGATGATGATGATGATGATGTTGTTGTCTTGGCAGGTGGAGATGCAGGCATGGAGGCTGAGGTGGCCATCGAGCAACAGGTGGACATTGCAGGTGACGGGGGTGACGACATTGACGGCGACAATGACGATGACGATGACAGTGACAGTTACGACAGCGATGACTGGTTATCCTTTGACGGTGTGGATTCTGGTTACAGCTCCATGTCTGAGGAGGAGGAGGACGCGGTCGTCAGACCCGACTCCCCCCTTGAACAGGAGTTCCCACCAGATGACTTCTGGCAGAGGTGGAACCAGTTGTCTCCTCCAGTCCCTGCTGGTTCACCTGTTGCTCCGCCTTACAGTCCTGTACCTCTGCCTCCGAGTCCTCTTGCTGGTCCTCCGGGCACATCTTCTGAAGCTCAGGGTTCAGAAGAGTGTGCCCCCTCAACATCAGGGCTGGTCTCCTCCTCAAAGAGAAGCATGGAGGAGGACAGCCCTGAGCAGGTAAGTGCAAAGAGGCAGAAGACGAGTGACGAAGAGAGCCCTGATGAACCAACGCCCTCAACATCAGGGCTCAGCTCCAGCACAAACAGAAGTCTCTGCTACAGGACGTTCCTGCTCTCAAGGTGGACTGAGGACAGTGACTCGGACTGAGGCAGAGGCTCTGTTTGTTGTTGGAAAAGGAAGTATACACACACACGCTCAAACACGCACACAAGCACGAGTCACAATAAATATAATTTTTGATGATTTTTGAAAAATAAGATGGTAGACGTCTGCAGAAAAGGTGAGTAAGAATCAATGCCAGTGCTAAATGTATTCTTCAAATGTTGATTCATTCAGTAATTCAGGGATGATGATTATTCCTTCTAACTCTGTTCTTGTTTCTTTTTCTTACAGAGATGCAGCAGCAGACAAAAGTGAGCTCAGAACTAAACCAAACATTCAAAAGTCAGCTGTAAGTTTCTATCCAACTCACTGGGGATTCAGAGATTATTTCCTTTACTCTGTTGAACTCTCATGATTTTGTAGTTTCAAATTAGAATAACATAATTTATCAACAACTAAATTTGATTGTGTTGTTCTGTTTGTTTTTGTCAGGTACTGATGGCTGTTTCTGTCTGACAAAGGTAAAGTGATCATTGAAATTGATGCTGATGAAGGTTTTCTCCTTTTTTTCCTCATGACTTGATAAAGTTGTTAAATATCTGACTCTCACCCCCGTTAGAACTTGACCAGGAGTGACAATGAGGAGGACAAAAGAAGACCAGACATGGAGGGAAGACTGTTCTGGAGCCAATCAGAAGGATGGATGGATGAGCTGAGGACCAGCTGAGGAGTGGTGGCAGCTTTAAATTTTTATTGACTTGGTAAGTCTTCTTCTCTCTAAGACGACAACAGGAACAGAGGTGACATGATGAGGTAGTCAAAAACTTTGTATTCAAAATGTTGCTCACTGCTGTCAGTGTGTGAGCATCTGTCCCTGTTGGGCCTCAGAGGTCCTGCAGGTGAAGCACGAGAGGTCATCAACAAAAAATGAACTCAATAGTTTGTTTTTAAAATATTTTTGACAGTTTTGTGAAATACTTGATCATAAATTTAAACCAAATGTTCCAGACTAATCAAACACAGCCAGGGGATTCAAATCTCATGTTACTCTTTAACCATTAACAAATATGAACCAAAACTAGAAAATTAATGTTATGTCTCCAATTGGCAGGGGACTGAATGCCTAATCGTTGTTGATGATCTTTTTCTCCACAAAAAGTGAGGATGAAAAGGATGAAGACCAGACATGAGGAGAAGAACATTCTGGACCACAAAAGGAGGATGGATGACGGAGGACCAGCTGTAGATCAGAGGAAGCGTCTTTGTTGGTCATCTTGGTAAGTCATCCCCTCTCTGAGATAACAGCTGTAATCTACTGTAAAATTCATTTTGAATATGTGGATTACCAAAGGAGCAGTCTTTTATATTATTATTCCAGTTTTCAAAACGATTTGAACTATTTATTTTCCATCAACACAAAGTTCTCAAAGATGTGTTCAAACTTTTTCTGGTGTTTTTCTATCCTGTAGGGTTGGATTCCTCTGTGTATTTTTCGTGTTGCTGGAGGTCAGAGTGCAAGTGAACCAACAGATCATCCCAGGACCAAGACCCACTGACACCCACTGGGCCTGAATCACTTAGAATGGATTGAAGCTACTAATAAGACCAAGAATTGAGCATCAGGGTCTGACTCAAAAAGCAAACAGTACTAATGATGTTTAAGAGCAGAAACATCCCAGCCCTGAGGATGAGGAACACCCCAACCCGACCAGCACGGAGGACGCTGTGCGCTTCTTCTGCTTCTTCTTGAAGAGGAATTTCTCATGCACAAACACACACAACATGGTTGTCAGAAAATATTTTCAATAAAAATTGTAAAATAAATATTCAAAAAATGTGTTTCTTTCCACAAGGTGTACATAACTGTTTATGACCATGGTAAAAAAAAAAAAGTCTCAATAATAATAAAAATTATGTATTTCTTAAGGCTGACCATCGTGACCAACAACATATTAAGTGAAAAACTAGTTTAAATTGAAAAGTTATTGAGCTTAATTTTCTTAACACAAAAATATTCAGTCACGAGTCTCATATTGAAGTGTTTGAGATGGTAAATAATGAGTTACAAATGTGAAAATCCATGTTGTTGTATTTGGAAATAGTTACCATTTTTCTGTAGCAGTTATTTGGAGTTGGGAAATTTAAAGGTCAAACTTTTAAGAAACACCATATCATTTAGGGTATATGGACCATGACAAAGAGCATAAAAGGCGTCTACTTCTTTAAATCATTATCAGAAATATATTATCTATATAACACCTTTATTCACCTGAGGTCAGTGTCTAACAACAGCAACAAGATAAAGAATTATGATTGAGACAGACTCTTAAAAGTGAAGCGAGACAGTTGTTAAAATCAAACTGAGCTCAGGATCACAAATATAAACAAGGTGGGGTGTACTGCAAAGGTGACTGAATATGTTAAAGAACAACAAACACAGACCCAGCAGTTTATTATGATCATTGGTAGCAGTGATAATAGAAATAATGATAATAAAAGTTTGTTTATACAGCACTTTTTTTAAAAGGGTTACTAAGAGAAATGTGAAGAATACAATGATAAAGGTTTAACTTCAAACATAACTTAAGAGATGAAGAAACAGACAAATTTATGGAGAAAGGGGCAGAAGAGATAGAAAAGTGACAACAATGAGAAAGAAATAAAGTCGAATGACAAGATTAAGCAGCCCAGATGGCCTAATGGTCTAAGCACACCCCATATGTGCTGAGCTCTTTCAGCTTGAGTTTGTCCTGCAAAGTTCTCCTCTCAAACGGGACCTACTTGATGGACTGCGCAGCGTTCTCCGGTAAATCACTTGGTAGGGGGATGCGGTAGCTATTCCCACGTCCTCTGTCATTAGCAGCCAAGTGCAGAGTGAGTGACCGGCTCAGAGTAGAGCAACTAGCTACGTCAGACACACATTGTAGCTATGCATCCATTTGTGGCCAATCTGGTTATGAACGTGCTTACGTCATTCAAATTAGGGACGTTTGGGTGCTCATCACTGGCGCCCCTTAAGGATGTTTTTTAATGTGGCTAGGATAAGCTAACTTTTTAATGCAGAACTTTGTTCTGAGCATGCGTGAGGGAGCAGAAAGCTTGGGCGCTGGCCCGTAGCGCCCCTGACGCTAATGCACAACTGTGATCTGAGCATGCGTAAGACAACAGACGTTCCGAGTCCGAGTGGAAAGATTGCTAACGGACTGAAATACACATTTAATGGAATGATTAATATAAAAGCACCATTTCCTTATTTTGGGGACAGCAGACATCTCTTTTTGCTCCGCCTGCAGCATCCTCGTATACCAGCCGCCACTGCTTAGGGCGCATTTTAAGTGGTGGATTCAAGTTCAGTGTCACTACTTTGAATTCCATTATGAGTGTGCATCAAACTGTTCGATTAATTCATAAAAGGTGTGTACATGGTAGGACTGCACATATTAAGTACATTTATATTGAGCAATGCATCAGAAGGCTACAGTCTACTTTACAGTGTATGAATGTTAATTGTGTTGCACATTAGTGAATTTTCATGAAAGGCGTTAATGCTGACATGAAGTGTAAAGCTCCCTGACTGAACAGAATTTCAAAACAAAAAGGCCATAGAAGTGCATCCCATTTTCATTTCAGTTATAATATTTATTGATATAGTAGTAGACTCAGCATTAAAATAAGAATATTTTGGAGGGACCTCCTGACCCTCCAGTTCACAGGGTTAAAGAGAAAACAGAAGCACCTTATTTAATCAGATCTCATGGGAAATAGACTTTATGATTAAATCAATTAAAGTGTTTTACATGAAATTAATTCTGTCTAAAGTTGAAATAAAAGAGAGAGAAAAAAAGCGGACTGTCCCTGCAGATAAACTGACTTGGTGGCTCTGACTGCATCTCTGGTGTGCAGACCTCATCTGATGTTGCACTGATCTGCAGTAACTACCATCCCCTGTTTATCTTATCATATTCCAGCTAGCTTTGAAAAGAGTCAAAGCACATGAGAACTTGTCAGACCAGATCCAAATATGCCGATTTTCAGAGCAGTGATTGACAACAGCCCCTAATGCTCCGGGATATTCTGTCCTCCTACCATTCCAGGCTGATAGGATTGAATGACGGCTTTTCTCTCTCTTCAACAGCATTTTACTTATTAATCACATTGAGAGTATGAAGCGTGAAATGAAAGCCATCCTGCTAAACTACTCCGGCCTTGACTAAATAAATGGTCCTCCAAGGGAAATAACTTTTCATGGGATTGGTTCGGTGGCAATATTCCGAGACTATGCAAATTACTTCAAATATGCTGTAAATCAAACACAGACATAAACCTGGAAGAGCAGTAAGCACGCAACTTCTTATGCCCAGATTTCTAAGAAGCACAGATTATGAGCAAGCATTAGGAAAATCAAAATCACCTGTTTCTTGGGCAGTCTTTTCAAAGCTTGAATTTAGCTTTTCTCTCTTCTTCATAACTTTTTTGTGTGCATAAAAACACAAAAAACTGCTTGTGGTTGTTTTTAACTCGCTTCACTTTTATTCATAATTCCAGGTAAATGAGCTCTGTGGGAAAAAAAAGAAAAAAGCTGACTTTCTTTTAAGGAATGATGACAAGCCATGTTTTCATTTAAGCAATAAAACAAAACTGACAATGCAAAAAGCATACCAAACAGAGGATAAATTACAGGCACATTGTTGAAATTAGAGTGTACTGTGTCATAGCAGCTTGAAACCTCCATGTTTACAGGCAGAAGGCCAAAACCTCAATCTGAATCCAGACGTAACAAATAAAAAACCAACCTAATTTCCTCTAAAACCACATTTTCCCAACACTGTAAACACAGCAGGGCCTAATACTGAGCAGGACTTGGCATCAGCCTTCACATGCTATATGAAAATGACTCAGTTGCATCTTTTGATTCATTTAAATGAGCTCAATGAACTGTGAAAAATGTTAATTTTCTTCATGGGGGCCTTTTGTGTTCTACATCCCTTAGGAAATGGCAGGAATACATTTTTAGAAGTTGGACTAGCTCAAAGTTGGTACAGATTCAAAAGTGATGTCACTCTCTGGGCAGCTGGAGAGCCTGTCCGTCTTTAAGTTGCGCTTCGCTTGACTGAGCTAACACGAGGCTTTGGGTCCAATATGAAGGCTGTTCACTTTGGCTGAGGACAGTCTGGAGACTCACTGTACATAAAAATGCAGACTCTGTCATTTAACAAAGACAGCCTTTATAGTCAGGGCACAGTAGAACTTTTTTTGTCAGCACATACACACGTATACTGCCTAATTAGGTTGCTCTATTTGAAGCTAAGTGCTTAAGTTTAAAAATAGCCCTGGCAGCAACATAAAGCAACCACCATATGTTGCATGCAGGTTGCTCTGTATATCTTACTGTACATCAAACTTTACACACAGCGCGTTGCACATGTAGCATGTTCTTATCAAGTGAGTTATAGTGTAAGGTCTTTATTCCATTTATCCTCCCACTCCATGCACATGTGAAATATGGTGCATAGTCTCATTAAGGATCAAAGACTTATTTTCTGACACAAGATAAAAAAGTGCCATACATTGTATGCCCCCTGGTATTGTTGGACATTGTAATGCAGTAAGTGTTTAAGCTGTCATTATAAACTATGCATGTTCACGATCAACTCTGACATCTATAATAATCATTATATAATCCATCAAAGAAAATGTGACTCTCTGAGACCTTTCATCATTAAGTTCAAAGACTCCATGTCGCCCTCATTTCATATGTCTTCTCTTTATCTGATGGCTCTATTTGTAAGAAGCTTTAAAGCTATGTAAAACTAACTTCAGCTAGAATGACACTGTCTCCTTTTTAGGTTCTGTTCTCACCATAGTCCCATGTCTGAACTTCTTTGCTGATTTAAACAAAAATAAAATCCATCACTCTGAAGTCTGCAACAGTTTGATTTGCACCAACAGAGAAGTATAGACTTAAGAATAGTACGGGCAACAAAAGGGCTGAGTGGGGCCTTGTGATTGTCATGAATGGGGGGTCATTTTGAAAGTTTTGTGATTGCTGGTCATGACTAACTTCACATAACAGGCAACTATGAATACAGCTGATTGATGATGATAAAATAAGTTTTTTTTTTCTCTGTTATTTTGATTAGTCATGTATACTGGAGACAGAATTGCAATCATGTGTTTTGGTTCCTGAAAAACTGTATGTTTCATGATTGAAGAAACCCAGTAAACCTTTTTCCACTGGAAAGATGTACATAAAACATTAACAGTTGGTTGAACATTAAAAGTGTTTTCTTTCAATTACAATTTTTCCAAATTTCAGTGGGAAACCTGCTTTCTGTCCCAAGATAAGTCACCCGTTCACTCACATAGTGACCTGCCATAGTGGCTTAAAGGGATATTTCGGCTGAATTTAAGTTATGGTTGAACACACTGTGCAGAGGTTCAACAGATTCTCAACAGCTTTTCTGTTGCATTTCTTGCTTGTTTGGACTTCTGCTTGTCTTTTTTGGACACCTGCTTGTCTAGATACATGTTGGATTAAACTTGGTTGAATCAAATCGACTTTGACAAACTCTTTTTAATCTACCGGCTTCAAAGCGATACCCTGCCAAAGTTGCAAGCTAATTTGCTTTGGAGCTAGCTGATGGGCCAAGGCTATCAGTAAGCTACCGCTAACTGATTAGAAGGTTAACAAAC